AATAAACTTGTGGTAAGAAGGGGCAGGTTGAACCTTGATCTAAGATGATCGGTTCAGTCATATGCTACCTTAAAAGACTAAGTGTAAACAATTATATATAACTTGGATACTTAAACAAGTTCAGAGTGCCTAGTCATATGCCCAAGGAAGATAAAAGTTGTAGTGCCCTGTGTTCGTATATACTCAATGGCTGAGCTAGACAGGTTTCCATAAGATTGGATGGTCCAACTTTACGCCTTATGTAAGCTGGGTATAAGAGATAAATCATTAAAAAACTACGAACTATTGTTTGACAAGGGTAACTTTGGGCTGGTGAGAGCACTTACCTTTGTGATTTGGCCTTGCATGTGGCTAAGTGAGATCACTACTTGGTTTTAGTTCTGTTCGATTGGTAGTCGTTTTAGATGCTCGTCACGTGCTAGAGCTATAGGAGTTAGATTCAAATTCTGCATTTTCTGAGCAAACTTTTTTTTACTTAGGTCAATTCTCGCATTTTCTGGGATCATTTATTATACTTGGTCTTGTATAAATCTTGGTAAGCTACCTTCTCTACAGGAAGCGCCGTCGAAATTTCTACAAAACCAAGGAGTTAATTAGATTTTGATTTTTCAAAGTCCAACTTGTCTAAATTTTATATATGGCTTAGTAAAAATATGGAAAGTCTCCTTTTTTAAAAGGAGTGTTGCCAAAATTTTTGCTAATTCAGAGAATTATACAAAATTGGACCTTTAGAAGTCAAAGTTATGTTTAGATCCTGAACTTAACTTTGTATAAATTTTGGAAAACCACTTTCTCTACGGGAAGCGCTGCCAAATCTTTTACAAATCTAAGAAGCTGGTAAAATTTTGTCTTGGTTGAACTCAGGTTTAACTTTGACTTAGTATAAATCTGGGAAGTCTACTTTTCTAAAGGAGATGCTGCCCAAATTTTTACTAATTGAGGAAGTTGGACAAAATTTGACTTTCCAGAGTTAGATATTATTTCAGTTTTCATATTTAAGTTGTATAAATTCTGAAAAGACACTTTTTCTACGGAAAGCGTTGCCAAAATTTTCTTAGTTTAGAGGAGATAGATTATATTTTGACAAGCGGCGATACTGGCAGTCCACTCTGTATGGGGGAGATTCTGCCAAAGGTGTACCTTTTCTTTGGACACTGACTTAGGGGTAAGACCTACACTTAGTTGACAGATAATTTTGAGTAAAAATGTGTTATGGAGATTCACTCTCCATACACTGTTGATTTAGCTTGGGCGTTGACCTGTCTTATGATATAGAACCTCTTTGGACGTTTGATTCAAGATTTGGGCTACATTCAACTTGATCCCATGAGGATCATCTTCTGTTATCACTGATAACAGGTCAGTTGCCGATTCGTCGGTTTACGACTCAACTCCAATCCACTCTCGTTACCCAACATAAAGGCTTTAGCCCTGGTGGTTTTTATTGTTTTATTAAGGTTTTCACCCTGACTTTTAGTGAATGGCCATTTAAGAAAGGTACTTAGTATTTATTTTGGAAGGTTGGACAAAAGTTGGGGCTTGCATGGCTAAAGCAAGGGGTATGAGTATAGAGAATGGTTGAAGTTAACCTCGTGTATTGCGTGGACTTTTTAGTCGAATCTTTGATGTGATTGCAGGTATGTTTGTGGTTCGGACTTTGGATTTGACTTCCTATGGCTGAGAGGAGTCCCACTTTGACTGTGAGAAGTGATCATCACATATTTATAACCCTTTATATATATATATATATTTGTCACAGCCCCTCGTTTGTTGTCCTCTTCTCTCTCTCTGCCTACGGTTTACCGGGCAGTTCTGTTTGTGACGATATATATATATATATATATATATATAGTAAAACAGAGTTGTCCGGTAAACCGTAGGCAGAGAGGGAGAAAAGGACAACAAACGAGGGGTCGTGGCAAACTGTTTCGTTGGAGTTAATCCGACTCATATATATAAGTATTTACGTGCACATTAAGAGTTCACGCGACTTATTACGACTATGCGCAAGGGTTGAACAGATTATGAGTGGAGAAAAAAGGAAGACTCGTTTTTTAAGAGTTTTTATATAGTTGGACGTTGTAGTTTGTGGCAACTATCAAAGTCAAACCCCTTAAGTTCTCTCCAGGCCCGGGATGATAGAGCTGGTCTCCAGGGCAATGAGAGACGATTGCCACCACAGGTATGAACATGTGTACCACCCACTCTTCGCAGGGTGCAGAAGAGGGTGTGGTTCTCAACCACACTTGGCAGTTGTCTAGCGTCGAGAGATTAACCCCTCAAGGCGCGTGTCAGCCGACACTTGAGTGTCGAACGCAACCCTTGAGATTATTGAGGACCGCGTGAGTATAGGTACTACATAGTACGCCATCATTGCGACCGCTTGCGTAAGCATGCATTGCTAGTCGATATGAGAAGACCCTGCGTCCGCGCAATTTTATACTAAGTCTCGCGCATGTCGCCTCTCCGATTTCCGCGTCGGAAGGTTATGGGATAACTACAAAAAGGGACTAGGAGTATTGTTATGTTTTTTTTTTTTTTTTTAATGTTGTTCCGTGTGTGTGTGTGTGCGTTTTTATTTTTATGTTTTAAGCGTGGTGTGTGGGATGCATCCTAGTCGACCGACAACGAATCATGCTTGGGACTTCAGCCCCCCCGTGCGTCGGTTCGCGTGCGGGTTCGACAGAGGCGTGAGACCGCGCGTACCCCCTATGCTACAACGAACAACGCCCTCGACTGATCCACCTCTGCGATTGCAACTGATTAGCGTTCGTACTGTGGACTGATACCTCGGCGGGGATACGCCCATTGAAGGGAGGTGACAACTCTCACAGGTGGAGGTAAGTTGTACCTCGCGTTGGCCCTATCCTGTCGTAGGGGCTCGCGAGAGGTATGGTTGGCGCACTCGACCGGAGTGGCTTGCGGAAGCTCCTTGTGTGTCGCGAGTAGACCAACTCTTGCGTGACGCGGCCGGGAGGGTCACGCACTGCGAGGGACCGATGCACTCGACAGGTGGCGCCGTTGCCGGGGATAACGGTTGCCAACCGTTGTCCATGGTGGAACTGCATCCGGTATGGGAATGGAAAAAACTAGGCATGCGAGGGAAGTTTTATTATACTTATAAGACAGATTATGTGAAGCCTCGTTTTAAGGGTGAGAAGACTACTTATTTAAGTCGATATTATTTCTATTTTATTTTTATTTGATCTGATTGACTGCCTGACTTGAAGATTACAGGGTAAGGGCTATGTTTTCATAGGGTGCGAAGGAAATCTTATAGTGAGAATAAACTCTGCCAAGGTGGGTCCGGAAAAGAGAAAGTGGTGACATTAGTTAAGTTGGGACCATGAGATGATTGTGTAGGGAATTGATAGGAGATGTGATAGGTTAGTCCTGCTGAATGAAGTTTCTATCTTTTATTAACAGGAAAGTTGAGCAAGAGAATCGACAAAAATGTCGGGTGGTGCAACTAACAGTGTGGGAAAGATCCTGACGATCGATGATTTAGTCGAAGCTTTGGACAGGCGAGAAAGGGCGCAAAGCAATGTCCCTAAAATCGACACCTTCCATTTCGGTGCAGAACGAGTTTCAGACTGGTTAGAGTTGGTCACCCAGGCACCAGTGGGTTTATCAGATACAGTGAAGTTCCAGCGTATTCCGAAGTATCTACTTCATGGACTTCACAAGGAGGTAGTGAAGATTATAGTTGCAGCCAATGGCAGTTGGGCAAGATTCAAAGATGGCATGCTAAGGAAGTACAGGTTGGGTGATGGCCTGTTGATGGCGGCGGACTTGGTGGCAATGAATAGGGATGACTTTACCACTGTTGGGGCTCTCGCGGAGGAATTTAAAAAGAAGGCAAGGAAGGTCCCAAGAATTTCAGAAGAGGCGTAGTGTGCTATTTTCCTAGGGTTGTTCAACGCTTTGGAGGCCCAGGAGCTGACAAAGCGGGGAGGAGGAAGTGAAAAACTCACCTGGGCCACGATCGACAACGGTATAGAAGAAGGAGATCTGGACCAAGTGAAGCAATATCAAATGTGCTAATAGAGGAGAAAAAGGAAGGAGCATGATACAATTGCTTCAGGGACTCTGGGGTAAGGAGGATCATCACGGACGTACTCGCGGAGCTAGGCTATGGAAAAGATACCATAGTACAAGAGATGGTTAACAACAAACGCTATTTACAGGTCACTTTCAGCCGCTTCAGGTCCCCACCCGAAACTCCTGAAATGCCCTGAAGTGGTTGAACCTTCTGAAAGGGGTTTCAGGTACCCCCATCCAAATGGTTGGATGGGGGTACCTGAAACCCCTTTCAGAGGCTTCAGTCACTTCAGGTCATTACTGCAGTTTTAGGTCCCCACCTGAAATTCTTGAAATGACCTGAAGTGGTTAAAACTTCTGAAAGGGGTTTCAGGTACTCCAATCCAACCATTTGGATGGGGGTACCTTAAAACCCTTTCAGAAGCTTCAACCACTTCAGGTCATTATGCCGGTTTCAGGTCCCCACCTGAAATTCCTGAAATGAATTGAAGTGGCCGAAGCTTTTGAAAGGGGTTTCAGGTCCATCCAAATGGTTGGATAGGGGTACCTGAAACCCCTTTCAAAGGCTTCAACCACTTCAAGTCATTACTGAGGTTTCAGGTCCCCACCTGAAATTCCTGAAATGACCTAAAGTGGCTGAAGCTTCTAAAAGCAGTTTCAGGTACCCCCATCCAACCATTTGGATGGGGGTACCTGAAACCCCTTTCAGAAGCTTCGACCACTTCAGGTCATTAGGGCGGTTTCAGGTCCCCACCTGAAATTCCTGAAATGACCTGAAGTGGCTGAAGCTTCTGAAAGGGGTTTCAGGTCCCCCCATCCAAATGGTTGAAGCTTCTGAAAGGGGTTTCAGGTCCCCCCATCCAAATGGTTGGATGGGGGGACCTGAAACCCCTTTCAGAAGCTTCAGCCACTTCAGGTCATTTCAAGTTACACACAGCAACGTTAAACCAAAAAAAAAAAAAGGCAAAAAAAACAACAACAAGTTAACAACATCAAACTTGTCCTCCAAACCACCCGAAACTTCTGAAATGACCTGAAGTGTCTTCAGCAGGGCTGGTCCCCGGATGGACCGAGGACCCCTACCCCACCCGCGGTCCTCCCGGTTGGACCGGCCGGTGGCCCGGGCCGGTTCCCTCCCGGTTGCCCCCAGCGCATTTTCGCTGGGGTCTGAATTTATTTTTTTGTCGGCGCGTATGTGTTCCCGAGGTCTCGTGGGGGTGGGCCCTGCCCCACAATTTCGAAACCGGGTCCTGTAGGCCCGGATTTTCAAGTCCAAAAAGTGGCTAATCTTGGCCGCCGATCGTCGCAGATCAGTGGCAGAGATCGGCCAGGACCCCATTTCCTAAGAAAAACGGGCAGAGGACATCTGCCGCCGCTGATCTTTGCAGATCAGCAGTGGAGAGCCACCCCTTCTCCAATTTGTCATCTTGTGGTCCAACGGACCAATTACCATTGGCAACATCTGATGCTCTTTCACCCTCAGCCACGAGGGGAACACTATGCATGTGATGAGGCTTTGCTGAGATTATATTCTTCTGCAATGTCCCTGCCATCTGTGGAAAAAGTTATGGGTTCAAATTTTGGAATCGTGATGTCAGAGCCGTCCAAGGTGCAAGCCCAAGAATGGACCTAAGCTATATTCTTCTCTCTATCTATCTCGAATGGACCTTGCTCCACTACATGTATCTGGACAGACTGTCACGCAAGATACTCCCGGACTGATAACTCACCTTATTTAGAAACCAAGAAACAGAAAACGCTATGCCTCCACGAGCTGAAAGTTGGAACCATAACTCTTCTGCCGTCGAGTTATACTCTGGAAGAGCTATAACTTCCGGTAAGGACCTCCTCTCATCATATTTGGTTCAGCTCGTGGGGTATCAGTATCAAATGACACACTCCATGAAGCGCTCCTGCCAGGGGGGGGGTCGGATAAGTGAACTTGCTTATTGGACCTCTCCCCGTGGAAGCCATAGTTCCCTGAATATGTCAATAATAACCCCCTGCCGCCCTCTGGAAGCCCCTTGAAAAATATTGCACCTTGAAAATTTTATTGCGGATTCGGACAGCTCTTGAAGAGCTCAGTGGGAATCTGCCGGAAAAAAAAAATAAAAAAAAATTTGGGCACTTTTTTTTCAAAACCGGTTTCTCGGTTCACCCCCCCCGGGCTGGTCCGGCTCCGGTTGGACCGGGGTAGCTCAACCTACCGGTTGCCGGCCCAACACTGGTCTTCAGGCCATTTCATCGGTTTCAGACCACTTCAGAATCTTTCATTCCGAAATTTCAGGTGGTCGTTAACCGCGAGTGGTGTAAAGTACCAAGTCGCGAACTTACCTGTGCTATGGAGGAGAATCATGCCGACCTTCCAATGAGTATTATGACTCGCCTGCCCGTATTGTCGATTGATCCTCGGGAAGGCAATGTTCTCCCTTCCTCGTCTCTCTTGTTTTTTCCTTCTTGTGTCATGACGCTCTCGTCTCTTTCTCACCTGAGTTCTCCTTTTGGTGTGCCTTCTCCTTCCTCTCCTCCTCTCCCTTTCTCTCCCCCTGTCCCTTTCCTGTAATAGGGATGGCCACTCCCAGAGGCGTGGTGCGATGAGGCTGTCCCTTGCTCTTGACCATTCCTCTCTTTCCCGCCAAGATTCAGAGTTCGAAAGGGGAGGTCCATGCGTGCTCACTCGCACGAAAGAGAACACGAAATTCGAATGAAAGCTGAAGGATTGGTGGGCCCTGGTCGCGCGGGCGCGCGGACGCTCTACAACATTGGGGGAAGAATTAGCGCAGAAAATTAGCGCTTACCGGGTGGTGCTAGCGGAAAAAAGGGCCCAGCTCTTTCTTTTCTTTCTTCGCCCATCCACTCATTGTTATTATTATTACTTGGAAGAAGAATAAGATTGGCGAAGTCAAGGAGGAGGAGGAAGGTGGAGAGAGAAGGGGGATTTGTCATTGGTCTTGCTGGCGTACATCGTCTTCTTCTTCTTCTTTCTCTCTTCTTTGGTCTCTATCTCTTTGCAAGTGCTTTCATTTCTTTCGCAATTCGGTGGCCCTGTCATTCATTGTGAATTTGCACTTTGGGGATGACCAGGATCGTAACAGTGGCGAAAATGGTGATGATGATGATGGTGATGATCATGATGACAATTGCGCAGCAGTTGCATTGTACTGAAATTGAGAGTGCAACACATACGATTTAGTCTCATGCTTTGTACGCCTGTCTGGTTTTGTGTGGTGAGTATGTCGTTTTATTATCCAGGACCCAAACAACATAATGTTCCTGAAGAATAGAGGGCTTTGCCATCGGAATCGTCGAGAATTTGAATTGGCATTGGCTGACTTTGATAGGTACGGTCTACTCATTGGCTTTCAGTTGCTGTGTGGTTCTCAGGTCCTCTCTCTCTCTCTCTCTCTCTCTCTCTCTCTCTCTCTCTCTCTCTCTCTCTCTCTCTCTCTCTCTCTCTCTCTCTCTCTCTCTCTCTC